GCCTATCTATTTATCTACCACCCTCGCCCCTCGCCGCCAAGAAGACTGACGTCCCCTCGAATCGAACGATATCAAGAGGATACCTGTGGACACACTCTCGCCCCAAGTAGCCCGAAGACACTCGAGGCAAGATATCCGGCAGCCGTCGTTCCCGTTGACCTCGTCTTCCAGCGAGATCGGGAACGCATCGACGGAAATAGAGGATCGCCGGTGCGAGGAGGAGAAGAGGAAGAAGAGGATCTCCCCCGATAACGTGCATTTATGTAGACTGCTCGACGAAGGGACACGTGTCTTGCGCGATTAAGGTGGTCGATGTACTGACGTACCGCGTTCGGAGTATCATCTGGTTCCAGGTATATTTGGTGCGGCCGTGCGTTGCTCCAAATTTACATATTCGTGCTAATTATACCGCGACGCGACGGTCCGCCGTTTGTCACCGAAACGTGAAAGCGGAGCGGCCGGACGGGCGGCCGGACTTCGAAATCCGCTGGCTCCGCGGAATCGATCGTAAATATTATGAGCGAGCTCGCTGAGGCCGCGGTTTTCGATCGGTGACACCCGATCGCGGGCGACTCGAACGACGGAGACACCGAGGCCCGCCGAGGTCGTCCTCCGTTCGACCCGGGCGTGTTGCGCGGCGTGTCCCGTGTCGCGGGGGGACTGTCTTGCCATTTCCCTAACGCGATACAACGATTCCGAGAGAGCGGTCGATCACTGTGTAGCCGCCGCCGACGAAAATAGACCGCGGAGACGCAATATCGCTGAATCGCCGTCTTTCCGCGAACGGCCGCGTAACGTGGCCACGGATTTGTGAAAGACCGTCCGAAAATAATGTTCCGACGCGGGGCGTATCATTCAAGACAATCGTGCCGGTGAAGTTCCGAAGTTCCCCGATAAGAATCGCCGGTTCCGGCCCTCGGGATCGACGACGAGTGGAGGCTTGACGCGCGACGACGTACCCGTGCCGTGTGGGCGAACCGAGTGACGTTCTTGCGAGTACACGGAGGATATTCTCCCGAGGCTGAAGGATTCCTGGGAAAGTGCGGGGATGAGGCATATGTTGCGTGGTGCCATTTCGTGGGAAGATCGAGGCTCGTTTAAAAGTCGATCGACGTGCAACGCATTGACGCAAGAGGACTGTTATATATATATCCCGGTTTTCCCATGAAGAAACGCGCGGTACATGGTCTTGCGAAATAGCCGTGGAAGATTCACGCGCGACGCGCGCGCGAGCTGTACGCCGGTTGCCATTTTTCCATGGAGCGTGGAACTTATCCGCGTGAATCCTCTGCGGATACCGTTTGATCGCGCGCAGTTAACGGTGTCGAGACTCAAATTTCCCTTAATCATCGAGCAGCGAGTAGTCGAAGGACTTGATTCTATAACCACTGCTACGAACAAACGCAATTCGTAGCAATTCAATACACCGTAGCAACCGGAACACAGACAGTTCTTCCCGAGTCACCGAAAACAAGTGAAACTTGTCCGGTTACCGGTGTCCAATCGATCCAAGCGACAAAGCGAAAGACCGTTGCCTCGCTGCGGAAGATCGAATCGATGTGCAAGGAATCCACGGGTCCCCGACGTGTCCAGTCCGCAGCGAGGGGAAGGAAACGCTTCCGGTATGCGTTCCCGCGACGCAGCCGTTTGAGCGGCCGGGTCGATGATGTGTTGCGGTGGGTAACGGCTTGGAGGAGACTCAAGAAGCAACAGCAATAGCAGCAGCAGCAGCAACATGTACGGCCGACCGGGCGACTCGAGTAACGCGCAACCGCCGCCATGGTTGGTGCGTGCGGAAGTCACGATCCGCCACAGCACGCCCACCACCTCGGAATCCG